ACCCAAATACTGACTGGAAGACAATTAACATATGATGGTCCTGAGCTGGAGGCATGAAGCGTTAACTGTAGCAATCTAATCCTAGCATAGAAGCAGACCACGGAGCCGTGAGACCGGCATGGAAAGGGACCAGAGGAGTGAGAGTGAGGTAAACCATAAACCACAACCAGAAAAGAACCGGTGCATGACTTTCGAAAATGAAGAGGGGGTGGGGGTAAAAAGAAGAAAAATTGACAGAGTGAAGGGAAGATTTAAAAAATGCGTCTCCGAAGTTACAATGACGAAAAGAAACGCTTTGAATTCAGTGGTGCGAATCAATTTCTCAGAAATGCCGTATACGGCAAGAGCGAGCATAGTTTATGATGGCGGGAGCAATCGGAATTCAATAAACGCGCATAGGGGTAAATTGTAATTAAATGAATTAATGAATTGAAGGGTTCCACTGATAGTCTGCTGATAACCATCAGTTTTCTGGCTATAACGCATCGTTGGTTTGCGCATGACAGGCGGACAGAGTGATGACGGCACGTATAGAATATTCTCAAAAAAAACTACTTAGACACGGAGAGAGTGCAGTAAGGTTGGCAACTCAAAACAATTTCAGCCTGTCTAATCCTACAGTTACACATTAATGAAGATGACAAGCATGAAGAACAGGCTTACTTTTCGGAGGGCCGAACAGAATGAGGTCCATCGTCTTTAGAACCAGTTTACGGCGATGAAATTGGTTCTTCACACCAAGATGGTCGTTGAGGTAAGTCTGGTTTCGCATAACCAATCTGTAGGTTGAAGAGTAAAAGACAAAAACACGAATAGATTTGCGTAAAAATATTTGTGACGGCGGAACTTATAAGCATGCTTTGGTGTTTCAAAACATCGTCTATCTCTGTTCGACTTCTATTTGTCTCACGCAGGTGGGAGTTAGACCGAGAATTGGCGGCAACTGTGCCGTCTTACTAATTAACAGCAGTTTACAAGAAAATTGATCTGACAAAATAAACATTGATTACATACGACAACAATCGGATGTTTCAAGGTTCGATGAAGGAAAGAAACAACCGGACGGAACATGATAAAATGACCTCCCTGCCACTGAGTCCTTCTAATAGTTGCCTAATGGGGCACGC